TTTGGGGGGGGGGGTGGTGATGGTGCCGTAGTTGACGGAGGGGCCCGCAAGCTTCGGGGCGGCGGCAGAAACGGCGGCAGTGACGGCGGCGGCGGCGGCAGCGGCAGCGCCGAGGGCGAGTCGGCGTCTTCGCATCCGCATCCGCAGCAGCACAAGCAGACGCATCAACAACAGCAGCAACCGCCGCGTTTGTCGGAGGGCACTTCCGTCGCCTCCGCACTACCGCCGCCGGCCTCACCGGCAGCATCCGAGGTGGCGCGGCGTTTGCGCGTTTGCCCCGGCCAGGAGCCCCGGGGAGACGGCGCCCTGGTGGAGCTGGCGTGGTGGGCAAGGGCGGCGTTCGACTACCTGGCGATGGGCAACTTCCCGTACGCGACGGGTTACATCTTGAACTCTGGCGAGGTTGAGCTGCCACCCTGGCCGCTCCGCGAGGCCTGCTCGTACCTCGCCGACCCGACGTTACAGGTGCGACAGGCAAAGAGACCCCACGAAGTTGTTTTTCTTGGAACGCCTCCCCGGGGGCGGGTGTAGAGAGGGGGGAAGGGTGGGGGCGCGTACGTCAACGCGCACATACACCTACCTTCGAAACCGCGCCGACCGCTGCACCTCTCTCTCTTTTTCTCTTGCTCTCCCTCTCCCTCTCTCTCCCTCTCCCTCTCCCTCTCTCTCTCTTTCTCTCTCGCTCTTTCTCTTCCTACACTTGTGTGTTCCCCACCCCCGTGTGTGTTCCTCCTCTGGTCGACCGACGTGTATGCCACCGTCACCGCGAGGAAAGGCCGAGGACGACGACGTGCTGCTTGGCGCTCTGGCGGACGCTATCGGGGTCTACTACAACGCTACCGGAGAGGTGGGGTGCTTTACACCCGCCGCCGGTGCGAATAACGCCTCCTCCGTCGACACGGACAACTGGAACTGGCAGGTGAGCCGAGACAACATGAGGTGAATACATAAAATCACCGGCGACAGCATGCAGTACATTTGGGGAGTGGGCCAAGAAAGAGAGAGAAAACAACACCAGCTTGAGCAAGCAATGCAACTGGCAGGTGGTCCGCGGCTAAGAGGTCGAAAGACAACAACCAGCGTGAGTAGACAGCACAATCAAGCAAACCAATAGTTAAGAAAATAGTGTTCGCAGCTGCTGCACCTTCTACGCCCACGACGCCAAACGTTTGCCGTGTGTATGGCCCCGCCAACCCTACGCACCCTAACCTTTTCCTGAACCCTTGGAGTGACGACAGGCGTGCACCGAGATGTCAATGCCGATGTCGACCGACGGCAAGCGAGACATGTTCTGGCGGAACGATTGGGACCCGCTCGCGCAGGCCGCCCAGTGCATGGAGCAGTACGGGGTGTCCCCTGGGGAGGGCTGGGGCGCGGCGGAGTACGGCGGCTACGCCTCTTGGTCGCAGGGTGAGAGTTCGCGACACGCCTCTCCTAACTCTTGCGGGGGGCTCACACACACACACGCGCACACACCCGCGCGCTTTTGTGTTGTTCGATAGCCAGAACATTGCTGCTGTTTCCGTTGCTGAATTTGTGCTGCGGTAGTATCACGATTCTCAGTCGCAGGGTGAGAGTCACAGCAGCGACGAGATTGTGCGACACGCCTCTTGACTCTTAACCCTTTTAAGGGCGTTTTTTTTTTGAGTGTCCAAGCACCCATTTTGTCGCTCATCGTCAACTTTCTTTCATTCGATGTGCAGCATGTAAATATCAATTTTGTGTTTCGGCGCTGCCCGAGGTATACCACGGAGCAAAGCTTTATTTCGTTGTGCTCCATGTAGCGTGGCGGGAGAGAGATGGCGTATCGTCCTCTTCCCACCCCCCCGTCAACCCTCCGTGTGCTTTCGTCAATCAATTTTGTTTTGTTCTCGATACGATGGGGACCTACCTGCAGGCCATATTCACTCGCAGACAGAGTTACGCATGGCCTCTTCCCCAACGATACTTTGATTGAATGCATAGCAGCGAGCAACAGGAACGCCATGCGAATCAGCTTTCTGTCGCTGTCTGTTTGTCTCTCTCTCTCTCTCTCATTCACCCCCCTTCCCGCCCTCTCTCTCATTCCCAAACCAAAGTCACAAACGTGGTGTTCAGCAACGGTCGGCTGGACCCGTGGTCGGGCATGGGGGTCGTCGATCAGCGGCGGGCCGGCGGCGGCGTGAAGGTGATCATGATGGACCAGGCGGCGCACCACCTCGACCTCTTCTTCGAGCACCCCCTTGACCCCCAAGACGTTCTCGACGCCAGGAGGGTGGAGATGGACTATGTCGAACGCTGGGTGGACATGGCGTACGGGGCGTATTACGGTGGTGGCGGTGGCGGCGGCGACACGTCTGGTGGTGGTGCTGGTGGTGGAGACGGGTCCGGTTCAGTTGCCGCTGCTGCCAAGAACGAGCCGAGTGCCCGCGGGGAGTTGGCACCGCCGTCCTGGCTGGATGGCTTGCCTTCGGTGGCAGCTGATTGGTAGATAGCTACAGCAGTTTAGCCGCTGCAATACCTCAGCACCACTCGTTTGTATGGGCAACTTTGTATGGCTGCGTTGACTGCGCTCTCCTGGCTTAGTGGAGGGGGACGGATTTGCGTGGTCCCCGGGTTTCACTCTTCTCTCCTCCCGCGGTCACGCGAGGGTACGTTGTAAATACACGCGATCAGGTGAACTGATTCCTCCGGTAACACCGTTTTTCTGTCGTATACACCACGCCGCTTCCCGATTTTTCGGCTGTTTTCATAGCTTTTGCGTTGTTCACTTGATTGCTTGCGAGTTTTTTCGGGTTGTTTGTCGATTGCGTGTTCGTTGCGCACTGCCACGACGCAGAACAGAGTGAATCTGTATACCGGTAGCTCCTGAATTTGCTCCCGGCTGTGAGGGACTCCGGGGATCGGGGCGGGCTTACGAGTTTTACGCTGTCGTTGTCGTGGAGTTGTATTAGACAGGAATCCGCACACAGGAGCGTTGTTTGTTCCCCCGTGGAACGTGTACACAGGGCCGTACAATAATGCGCTGGAGCGGTTCTGTACAAGCATCTCGCAGGCGATGGGCATTGGGTTGTAGTGAAGGAATGGGCGGGCGACTCTGTTGTCGTTGTTGGTGTCTTGACGTGAAAAACGGTGCCGATTGGGTAGGTGGGTGGGTGGGTAAAGCCCGGACGGAAACGTTTTTTGAATAGTAGCTTCGGCTGGGGGTGGTTCCCAAGCCCCGTCATCTGAATCGCGTATTTCATTTTTATGCCCCCCGCGAGAGAATTTGTACGTCGGGAAAATGGCGACTCTGGGAAAGGACAAACAAACGCATTCGCGTGGAAAGAGGATACCTTCTTTGTCGACTGCTGAAATTCGGTGTGTTTTCGACCAGGCACAGAAAATGACCTGTGTGTGTATGTAGCCCATGGCATCTATTGTGCTGATAGATGAAAAACGAGCCCGAGGACGACGCGGCACGAACGTCCTTTTGCGGAGCAACTGATGTCCGGGCCTGGGCATGAAAAGTACATTTCACTTTCTTGTGGATAGTAAGGCGTCTCGCCGGCTATCGCATGTGTACTTGAACCATCTCCATCGATGTCCTACATTCTGGCCATGAACTGTTGAGAAGAGGTGACACGAAGAAGACTCGATTGGCCAACATACCGAAGGACTCCCTCTTGGTTGATTCTTGGCCCACCAGGGACAGACACTAAAGGAGCTGTAATTTCCGCAGATTGTGACAACCCCTGGCTCCTGCAAAAGCCGACCAATCCCCCCCCCCCTTCCCCCCTCAGCTTCAAACAATATCCTTCCTTCGGCTCTTACTAACACGCGCCGAATACGACGAGCTGCAGACCTTGCCCGGAAACGGCTACGATAGCCGCGGGAGCGCCGAACGCTTCCCCCCTCGTCCAATCCTCTGCTTCGCTGCTCGGGACTCCGCCGCAAGCATTTTCCGCCGTTTCTCCCCCCTCCCCTTCTTTTCGGAGGAGCCTGGCGACGGTGCGGTGACGGTGACACGGCGATGATGCACGGTCGCCGCTACCACCGCCGCCAGGAGCGCGCTGCTTGGAGCTACTACTACTACTACTACGGCCGCCGAGGGTGGCTTCACCGGCTGCATGCTGCCGATGTTGTGGTTCACGAGGAGAGAGAGGGGCGACGTCGAGGCCGCTGACGTCGCACACGTCGGTCACGCACCCGGCCCGCCACCGCAGCCGCCACCGCCGCTCCGCCGCCCCCTTTTGACCTTGCCGACTCGCCCCCTCCTCCTCCTCCCGCTCCTCCGACTCTCCCGAGCCGTCGTCATCGTCGCTGCCGTCACCTTCCTGCGACAACGACGACACCACCGGCCGCCGCCGCCTCGTTCGCAGGGGGTCACGATCATCATTGCCGCTGCCTGATGGGCTGCAGCTCGAGCCGCCAACCGCACCGCCATCATCATCATCATCATCATCATCATCATCATCATCATCGCGACGACGGGGAGTAGTAGGCTCAGACGTTGCTCGCCGGTCGCTCGTGCCCGCGGGGGTGGTCGCGGGCTGCTGCTGTTGCTCCGACGACGACGGCGACCAATCACCACCGCTTCCGAAGCTGCTGCTGCTGCTGCTGCTGCCGCTGCTACTGCTGTCCTTCACGAGGTCCCAACGCGACAGCCTCTGGTCGCGGGCGACGGTGAACAAGGACAGCGAGCACGGCGGCCCGGCCCCCGCCCCCACACCCGGCTCTACGGCGGGGGTCGTGGAAGAGAAAGAAAAATTAGCCGACCGCGAAGAAGGCGGCGGTGCGACAGCAGCGTCGTCGTCGTGGATGCCAGCCGAAGGAGTCGGAGATTGCATTGTTGTCGGAGATTCCGTAGATGGTCCCGGAAGTCTGAAGGGAGGATTCGGAGGAGAAGGGGGGTCGACGGGCAGCAGTTGCATCCCCTTGATCGCTGACCCCGCGGCCCCCTCGAATACTTGAGGCGAGCCCGCGACAAGCCTTACGGCAGATCGTCTGGTAGGATGACGATAGGTGGGAGGGGGAGACACGGTGCGGCGACGCGTGAAGGAGGAGGGGTGTTTTCATCTCTCATCTTTTCGGCGTCCACGTTTCACAAACACATCTACATTACATACGAGGGATGATCCATCCCTTCGGAGTGGGCTCATGAGAGCACTGCAGTGTCGTCGAGGGGTGTGATGATGCAAGATGATGCAGCAGGCAGCAGGACCAGCCCACAGCTAGCTGCCAGCTACAAGTTGCGGCGTTTCCCAAGCTAAACAGCTCACGCAGCTGACGTGTTTCGACTCGAAGAAGAGCCAAGCGAGCCTCTATTTTACAACTGTGCACACAGCGTCTTACGACTACACTACTGTGTTCTTGAAGTCGACCAAGGCCGACGTCGACATGGCTTGGTTTTTCTCGCAAGCATGGTCGGTCTGGCAATGGTGCACTCGCACAATATGTGCTGCTTTCTCTGCACTGGGTCCAAGGAAAAGGCCAACTCTGCCACCTAGACTACAGCAGCTAGCTGGCCCCCTTCCACCACAGCCAGCGGTAGTGTTGTTCCGGAAAAGATGCGCCCCGCCTCTTTTTCGCCGGCGCTTCACATCCCCTCCTCTTTCCCCCTGACCCCTTCCACCGCAGCAATGTAGTGCCAGAAAAAAATGTACGCCACGCCTCTTTCTCGCCTTCATCTCACCCCTTCCCGCCGCCCCCCCGCCCCCCCCCCCTGGCCCCTTCTAGAACACCACAAGCCAGCAGTGTTGTTCCGGAAAAAAAGATGCGCCGCACCTCTCTCTCGCTGGCACCTCGCCCCCTCCCTGCCCTCGCGACCCCTGAGAAGACGAGGGCCCCCGGTCTGACGCTATTCTTGTCGTCGGGGAACAGCGACCGTCGTCCAACACCACCACCACTTCGAGCTCGGCGACGCAGATGGCTTGATCGTCACCCCCCGTCACGATGACCACGCGTCCCGCCTCCCCCGCGGGCACGTGGACGGCCATGCAGAGCACACCCATCTGGGATTCGTTGCCAAGAGGGAGGGACAGAAAGAAAGAAAGAAAGAAAGAAAAAAACACGAGTGGCGACGGACGAAAAAAGCAGCATCACTGCTATCTACTGGTCGACGCTCGAACGGGGGATGAAACAAGTAGCATCACTGCTGTTGACTTGCGGTATGCATACCACGTAGAAGCAATATTAATAACACCCCCAGGAGGCTAGGGGGGATTGGTGTGCAGGCCGACGGACGGTTTGGAATCGAAACAAAACATCGCGCGGGTTGTCGTGCGACAGCAGCGTGCAAGAAGCGCGGCAACATCCATGCACACCACTCAGACCAAAATAGAGGAAATGATCTCTATCTCCTGTGCAGAAGGGATAGTCAGGGCCTTGAAGGGGATCGAAGGGTACGAAATATTCTCTGGGCAAGCCTTAGCGAGCCACTCCAGCACGACGAAGACTCCAGAGGGATGGCGGAAATATTCAGCGAAAAGCGCCTACAAGTAACGAATTGACAACGACAATGTCGGAGGTACGTTAGATTTTGAAGAACATCCCTGACGCCAAAACGTACACCGTAGCAAGCGAGTTTTGTTAACCTTTGTTAACCAGGCAAAGGTAGAGTACAATCATGTTATCATCCTTATCTTCGCATCACCTGGTGAGCGCGGTACTCCAACACAGGAACGAGAGCGTGGCAAGGGGGAGCCGCCGCCCCCTCCGGACCCGTCCGCGCCGCCACACCCCGCCGCCTTCCCGCCGGCCCGCGGTGCACAAACTCCCCGTGGTCGGACGGCAGAGTACTACCGCCGCCGCCCCTGCCGCCGCCGCCGCCGCCGCCGCCGCCGCCGTAGAGCTGCCATACTGTAACCGTCCCTCCGGTATCACCGGTGGCGATGAAATCTAGAACCTCATGCTGCTGCTGCTGCTGCTGCTGCTGCTGCTGCTGCTGCTGCTGATGGGTAGCTGAAAGCCACACCCGAGCGTGCGCCACGCACAGTGCCGGACGCTTCCCTGCCGCCATCCACCTCCCCACGGGGTGCGACCGGGCCTCCCGCAGCCCTCCGTCTACGGCGGCGGAGGCGTTGCCAAATGCGGTGGTCTCAGCAGCAGCAGCAGCAGCAGCAGCGGCGGCGGCGGCGGCGGAATGCCGCAGTTCATACACCGCCACGCCGCCGCCCGAGTCTCCGGCCACGAAAACGGCAGTGGCGACGGCGGCGGCGTTGATGCCGTCGTGAGTGGGTACTGGTGACCCCAACCGCGAGGGCGGTGGCGGCGGCGGCGGCAGGGGCAACACGCACAAGCACATGATCCGGTGCGCGTGGAGCGGAGATCGCGGGGCCGGGGCGGTGGTCGAGAGCCACCGGACCTGTCAAGAGCGGTAACAGGAACAGGCCGAGAGGGTACGTGTAGAGCAAGAATTGGATTTACATCAGGCGGGAACAGGCCGGGAGGGTACGGATAGAAAGGAATGGAACTTCTGTCAGGCGGAAACAGGTCGAGAGAGTACGGGTAGAAAAGGAATCAAAGGTCACCGCCGTTGCTTGGAAGGGTTATAGGATTGACCAGTTTATGGATTAGACCTTGACAATGGGTAAACATTCTTCGAATGTCTGTCGAGGATGGTTCTCTCTTTTCACGTTGACGTCGACGAAAAGAAACGTCTGACTTTTAGCTCCGCACGAAGAGAGACAGGGGTTGGGTACCAGGGGGGTATGAACAGTTTCTTTCGTATCGTAACGTTAAGATGACGTTCCTTCATGCTATGAAATTTCCGTCAGAAGACCAGGCCCAATCGTTGCGTTGCTTTTTTGGTACAAACGGAGGAGAGGAGCATCAGAGCCTGCTCGTCGGCCATCCTGTTGAAGACGCGCGGAGAATCGCTGCTGTATTTAGTATTTTGCTTGGGCACCCGCCAATCTCCCCATTACCCGACAGTGGCATTTCCAACCAGAACCAGCAGCAAAGCGTCTTCCATATTCACTGAAACAATCACGCCCCGCACGTCAACACGACACATCAGATCGGATGCGAAAACCACGCGTGCCCCCCCCCCCCCCCCCCCCCCCCCCCCCCCCCCCCCCCCCCNCCCTATTTACACCAAGTGATATAGTACAGCCACAAGGGAACCATCAACACACAAGGACGTCCCTCTCACCGGCGGGACACACGTCGCCTGCTGCCGATCTCCACCACCGAAGCAGCAGCAGCACCAAGCTCGCGCCTCCATCTTCCCTCCCCCGGACACGATCAGAGCGCGTACGGAACGTTCTGCAGGGTGCCCATCGTACAAGATGAAGCTTCCCACGGCAAGCGTTCCTACCGAGGACTCGTGCGAGGGCAGGGTTTGCACCACCGTCGCACGGGGGGGATGGAAGGAGGCGTCCTCCGATACGTCTCGCACGGTCTCCGTCCCAGGAGGGTCTCCAAGGGAGGCGGCGGGGGGGGGGGGGGG